CCCCCCCCCCCCTCCAGATTAATTACCACCAGCGCGCTGCGCTGTTTTCCCCCGGGCCCAACATTATGTTGGTAAATGCCATAGTGTAGGAGTCAATCCGGCAAATAGCTCTCTTTCCAAGAATTATATAGGATATAACGTCCCCAGGAGGGAGGAGCGGCGATCAATTCCGCCCAGGATCCTGCTGCTCCCTGAAGTGAAAACAAATGCTGATCCATAATTGTCCTTTGGCCGTGACCTCCCCCCCCATCCCACCCACCCACTCCACCCCCCCGGCCCACCACCGCTGCTGCTTGTCTGCTCAAAGTTGTTCTCAGCCCTGGGGCCTGTTGGTGCGCGTTGGCTGACGGAGCTAAACGGGACGGGGGGGGGACGGGCCGGGGGGGGGGGGTGCGCGGCGCCGTGTGAATCAGCCTCGGCGGAGAGCGTATTGACAGATATTGGGGTTACAGAGCGGTGATGTGGATGCTGATGCAGCAGCTCCGGCTTTTCGGGGTCACGCGGCTGCCAAACAGAAACAAGGACATGGGCTCTGATCGACTGCATCACGGCGAGTTCGTCCCCGCCGACGCATTCAGCACATTTCTCCGCGGCGCCGCTGGCCGAAACGCAGCAGTCATCAAGATGCAAATTCGGGTCGGTCAGTCAGTCTGTCAGGGGGTAAGATCCAGCAATCCACCGTGTCTGGCTGCTGTCAAGCATCGTCAAGATCCACGGCGCCTAAAAAGGATATTTGGGGAGGGGGAGGGGGGCCCTTGTGCCAGTAGCCCCCATGGCGCTCTCGGAGGGCCGCGTTTACCACAAAACCTAAGCCACACTACCAAGCTTCGTGCCTCAGCTCAACTGTCGGAGAGAAAAACTCCCAAAAACATTTTTTTTCCCCTCACGGGTCAGAATTCGACTCACCGAAGCACTTGCTCTGGTTGGTGGCCCGGTCCATGAAGACCTTGGAGGAGATGACGGTGCCGAAGGGCAGAAACATCTGCATGAGCTCATTGTCCCCAAACTCCTGTGGCAGGTGGTAGATGAACAGGTTACAACCCTCCGGACCTGAACACACACACACACGGGGGGGGGGGGGGGGCACAGCTGTGAATTTGTCATTTCGATCCGTGCGGTGTCTCGCGTCGACTAAATTAAGATAAGTGGAAATGGATTTTCGGGACGTCTGTGACATCATCAGTGATAAAACATAAACTGTTCTTAGACACGCAAAGATAAATGGAGAAAAGTTTTTGCATTGATTTGCTGATACCGATGAGAGACTGTTCCCATTTTCAATTTACATTTTAAAAAGCTTCCCTGATCAACATATGAACTATCAGTAATTTGATCAACGTGCCGCAGAAGAAATCTAATTTCATTTTCAAATATCTAAGATAAAGAGTTTTCGATAACGCTTTCTGTGGCGCTGATGTCTACAATGCATTAGAAACATTAGTGGCAAACATACATGTATTCAAAGCCCAAGTACAGTACCGCTATACACACTCATGTATATTTATAACAATTTATAATAACAACGAACAGAATATAAATGACCCTATAATGACTTGAGAGTATCATTATTCCTTTGCAAGAAGAAGAATCAGTACATTATGATTCCCACAGTTGTAATAAATTACACTCTTTTTAGAAAGCATCATAATCACATAATGTGCTTCAATGTGATTATAATTTATTCAAGGTGGTCGAGTAAAAATGTATTTTGCATAACTCAGAGTTTTGTTCTTGCATAGATTTGTACTTTTTCATCCTTAAAGGAAGCAATGACCGCTTTTAGTCGCACAAAATACCAGCATGCATTTAAACAGATTATAATGCATCATTTAAATACGGTAATGTGTTACGAATGTGAAATGATTTTATGATGCGTTGTGCTTATAGTTTATAAAGCACACTGCATATTTCTGTCTCCTAACAATACCGTGTTATAAGCAGTTTATAAGTCACTAAAACTATGTTCAGATTGCATTTGTATTGCAGGAGCTTCATAGAAAGTGTCACCCGGGTAACAAAGAAAAGAAAGAAATGCGTTTAAAACTGAGGGGCATGATTGCTTCAATCATACTTGTGCTGCCTGAGTGACTCGGTTTTCTCGAACATTAGAAACAAATCAACAAAACTTTATCTTCAAGTGAGGTGCCACAATTCTCTCGTAACCTCCATTTTTACATTTTCATTATTTTAATTGTTCCACGTGGGTCGCAGGGACAGCAAGGGATTTTATTATATAAGCTTTAATTATAACTTACAAAAAAAAAAAAAAGAAGAAGCATGTGCCAGTGTGTCGATTATATGCAGCCTATTTTCAAGATAACCAGCCTGATTTATTTGGTTTAACCATCCTCGCATCCTTTACACCGATCACCTAAAACGCGACGAGGACGGCGTTCAGTAACATCGCTCCACCACCATCTGTGAAACGCGTGCAGGGTTCACATTCTCACCCTTCTGTAAGCGGTACGCGGGAGGAGGTGTGGCCGGCGCTCCAGTCATATCGCCGCCTCGTGCTCTTTGCGCGTCTACTACACGAGATCGAGATGTGTGTGTGTGAAAAGTAATAATGTTCTCTCACCCTCACCTTCTCTCTGCTGCTGCTGCTGCTGCTGCTGGATGACCTGGGGGGGTTGGGGCAGCGTCTGGCCAATCGGAGTCAGCGTGGTGGTCGGGTAGATTGCTGCAGAGAGGTGGAGAAGGGGGAGAGAAAGGAGACGGGGGGGGGGAGCGTCAAAAACGAGGATCCCACAGAGAACGGCGACGTCGGAGGTCCGTCGTCACCGAAAGGCTCCCCGATGTTCCACCCCGGAGACGGTGCAACCGCACCTGTGTACTGCTGCACTCCGGTGAAGGCCTGCTGGAGGGTGTCGGCGGCGGTGGGGCTCTGGGTGGAGTAGGGCGGCAGGCCGTTGGTGTACATGGTCCTCACCGCGGGGTGTCCGTTGGGCTGATGGGGGATGCCGGTGAACCCGTTGACGATGGGCGTGACGAGGCTGGGCACGGCGGAGGTGGTGATGTTGGCTGGCGGAGAGCTGAGGCCTGCTGGGAAAAAACAACAACGAATGACGTGTGCGGTTCGCGGCGCCGGGTTCTCTCTGCACGCCATCATACAAAGCAGTCGTAATGTGTTAAGACGTAGGTGTACAAATACAGACGTGCTTTTCCTTCAGAGAGTCCACACACACACACACACACACACACACTCACTGCATCTTTATGCGAGGGACACGGGGTGGCACGGGAGTCTGTCACATATCTCGCCTGCTCGCGGTGACACATCCCGCAGAAGAGCCGGGAAGTCAACCTGCTGCTTTAATGAGCCTGTCCGTAGTGTTTGTGCGATACCCTGCTGGCTCCTACTGCTCAGGATGATGAAACCACTATGCAACTTCAGAGAGGGGAGGGGGGGGGGGTCTAGACCCAATGGAAGGAGACTACAGCGGGCGATCCGGTTGAAAAGAAACTAAAAGACGCCTCTTACTTTCATACGCCGTAAAAAAAAGAAGAAAAAAAAGACAAAATAACAACATTTGGCAGTTTGACAAATGAGTGGGTCATAACATATATGGGACACGCCTGAAAGGCAGCTGCGAGACGCTTCATGAGTGGAATTGAAATTGGCTGCTCCCTCTCTCCTCTCATTCAATGCATTTTAAAAGGACCCTCCTTTGGCAAGTGTTTCCAATTATGCCGGGAACATCAAAGTACCCATTTTGAGCCGAATCTCACTGTGTGATGGTCCCTCTAAAAGGGCCGCTCCGTGGCAAAGCACCCGCGCCCGCCGGAGTACGGCTCCCCCGAGGACCACCTCTCAATCTGGAAACCCTCGCCCCGATTGGACGGAAAGCCCAGGTTGCCACGGAAACACTCCAACAGGCCGTATCCTCACAATCTGGTGCCTGAGTAAAGAACCACCCCCCCCCGCCCCCCCCGCGAGAGGTGGTCCAGAAAGGGTAAACAATCACATCCCGCGTACACAAAGCACACGCGGAGATTTATGCTAATGCCGGGGCAAATATGCCCAGCGTCGCACGCTCGAAACCTTCTCCGCCGCCGAGAAACAGCGTCTACGTGTTCGCTTGGATCTGCTTCTTTCTGCCTCTTCTTTCCTCTCCTTGCTCCCTGGGCCTCTCAGCATTTAAGCGGCAGCGACCGGGGCGACGGCCCGGGGGGGTCGAGCCAGAGCCGCTGCGTGTTTTTGCGCCGGTTTCCTCTCCCCCTCCTCCCACGATCGCCTGGTTCCTGCAGGCGCTGTGATGAATTAGACTGTAGCTCCAGCCCATTCTCCTACCAGGACCCTGGAGACCGCCGCTCCTATTCTAGAGGGCTAGAGACAGCCGGTCTGCTCGGGCCACACGCACACTACTGTGCCGCCGGATAATGCACCCGCTCCATCATCAGGCAAATTCGTTTTCCGAGGCTTAGCGGGGCCGCGGGAGCGCGCCTTCCGCGTGTGCGCATAGCAGTCGTGGCGGTAGCAGGGGCGGCGGCGGGAGAGCTAGGTGGTCGCGTGGAACCCCCTGACACGCAATAACATAACTTCTCGGGTCAGCAGTTGGACATGACGTCCTTGGTAAAGGAGGACACGCCGCCAAACGTAACATATTACGGCCGCCGAGGAAATGTCACAGGAGGGAATGAGCGTAAAGATCGCCAGTGTAATAAAGGCAGCATTGGTGTTGTAGAGGGGCAAAGCGCAGAGACGTTTCTCCCACAGTAACTAAACCATCAAATACTATTACACACAACATGGGGCCTCGCTGTAAGGGAGAGGAAAGAGCGACATCACGATCCCACGAGGAGGCCGTTTGTGTCGTCATCTCCATCCACTGGCCCGATGACCCAATATCCACCACCCGCAGATCCTTTCCCCCCCCCGGGCTGCAATGGAAATGAGGAGGGGGGGGCGCTTCCCGCCATCCTCAACAAGACATTTTCATTTGAGAGCTCGGCGTATAGTTCTGGCATTGTGGGGGAATCGTATTCATAGTCTGCTTACATTGTACACAGAGGAGCGCGGGGTGTCGCCCCCCGTGATAATGACCCGTTGTTCCGCGCTCGGCCGCGGCTGAATACGAAGCGACGCCACAGAAAAGATTTCTATACAGCCGCGGCTCTCAACTACCGCTTCTCCACCGTTATTACCGCGAGAAAGAGGCCCGCGCTGCCAAACAGCACGAGTGTGAGTGTGTGTCACATTTATTTATGTTCATATTCCTGCAGGCCGCTCCTTTGGCGGGGGGGGGAAACTGTTGATTTGCTCGTGGCCACGACTGCTTGACAAAAGAAGCCTTGGCATGCGACAGGAGCATTTATTATGCTAATTACGCATTGAAATCAACGCGCGATGCCGCGCCCGTGCCGGAGAGCGCCGTCATTGCCAGCACGAGGACCGTCTTTCTCTGGAGCAAGTAATAAGCACTCCAACCAGATGCTTTCATCTAACTGATTTAAAATGTGATGCATTTAAGACTCGAGAAAGAGAAAAACGTCTCTCTGCTCCTTAAAGTGTGAATAATAAATCGGAATGAGGGAAGGACGGCTTTTTTTCAGACGCTAGCGGGGACGCCGAGAACAGCTAATGTGACCTTCAATGCCGCCGCTGAGATTCCTCGCGTTAATGTTTGTGAAGCGAGAGGAGAATGAAGCTTCATTAGCACATAGTTTAAGTAAACATCCAAACGCAAGGCGTAGTCTTTGAGGCGTTCCAAGGGCGACTCCAATGAACAATGTCATTGAAAAGTGATTGTAGGATGTACAGCGCCTCTTCACTTTGAGGCCCCGAAAACCTCGTCCGTCAAACAGGTTCTTTCTGTGAGTCAGCGAGAAAATCCTATTTTCGGTATTTGGTGGGTATTTCACATGAAAGATCTGTTTCTGCGCGGCGGGCTGCCAGGCCGCTGTCAATCAGCCCCACCCACGCGGTCCTGATGACGCAGAGCAGATGGTTAATGTCTTACTCACAGGCCTGAATATCCTTTGCACCGGAGACATATTCAAGATTGTAAGTAAACTTTTTGGGGACTTTCTGGGGAAGTTTCATTTAAAAACTTGCTGTCTCGTAGCAAAGACCAATGACACGCATTTTATCTGCAGCCAGAAATTTGAGGGCTTTCTGCTCGGGTAGAGAAGGATTAGTTGCTTAATAAAAGTATTTTGTTTTCCTCCTGTTTGTCATCATCTCCACTGATGACCTTGTTGGTGTTTGTGAGAATTCGCTTCTATGCTGATGATGGAGCTCTGTACGGCCACAAACTCTTTAAACTATTAAAATACGTCCACGGCCCTGCAGGCGCATCCACACCACCGCTCGACGCGTCCTGGAGGTGCAGGTGCACATCTGGAGAGGATGTGGAGCCGCCCCTCGAGTTAAGAAGGGAAGGCTGCGGCACATCCAGCCGGCATCTGCTGCGCGGCGTCTGAAGCGGTGCCGCGCAACAGAACACTAAGAGCGACTTTGATTACACACTTACGCGCAGCCTAACAAAGCATCCTTGACACGATGTGTTCTTCCTAACATTCACCCAGCGGGAGGCGCATCCCTCTCCTCCCTCACCCCCTTGATCTCCCCCTCTCTCTTTTTCCTGTTACTCCATCTCTCTCTCTCTCTTCCTTTCTTTCCCTTGTTTTTGTTTAACTTTTATTTCATCTGCAGCGCTCACGGAGCGGCACCTGGGTGAGCATTTATTTTTCAAAAAGCACATCATGCCATCATTTGTAAGGATACACGCTCTAATCAGCTGAGCCATCTGGCAGACGGCGAATGCACCATCGAGCTTAAACGCTTTGCATCTGGGGGATCCAAATGGATGTCTCATTGTTTTCAGAGTAGCACCCTTAACCTCTGAGCCCCTCTGTTGTTCCTTTGGCTCGCGGCAGAGCAGAGGTTGTACTGATCATTTGCATAGAAGAGTAATGTCACGCATTTACCGGGAGATGAGGTGGGTTTCGCGTCCGTCGAGCTTCTATTGGAGCCTCGCGTTATTACGGAGCGGCGCAGGTGATTCAGAAGGGCGGCGGACGAGCTGTCGATTGGCAATTTTCTTTTGGAAGGAACCGTTTCTTCCTTTTATACTTTGGTACAATCGCCGCAGCAGCCAAATGTCAAAACGTATAGATGTGTTTTGAAATCCAATTTGTTTGACGATACAACTTAATGCATAAATTACACCACTGTCGAGGAAGAGAAGCAGTCTGCTATCGGAGGCTAAAACAGATTCAGATATTACAATGAATAATTCCACTGACTCCAGGCAGACGTCCCACCGTCTCTGGTGTCAGAGTCTCTTGGCCTACTTCGACAGACAGCCTTGCCAGTAATGTTGCATTCCTTCAATGAACTCTAAATAAGTCAGAGCCACAAGTGTGGAAAGGGAAAATCGCTGCGTGCAGCAGCGACGCTGCCACTCCTGCAGCGGCTGGCTTAACGAACGAGGAAAAAACACATTTCATATTCATGATAGTCCTTGAGAAGTGACGAGAGCCATGTTTCCTCTCAAGGATTAATAATACATTACATTCAATAATGAAAAGTAATCAGCCCGACGGTAGCTTGCAACAAAAAAAAGAGAATGTCCAGAAGCAGATAAATGGCACCGCTTCTCACATCGCATGTTCTCCTCCCATCTTTGTATCACCAGCAAAAAGAGATTTTAGTCTTTTCTTTGCCTCCCGCCGAGCAGTTAGCTGCAGGCATCGCCAATTGATACACGATTGCCTCCCGTTTCCCGACGCAGAAGCAGTTTTGTTTAGCTTTTAAAGAGCATCTGACAACACACGGCAAAATTTCCTCCAGACTGAGGCACAGATCTCGGTTTCTGAGCGGCTACAGTTCAAAAGAGATACGAGAACAGCACAAACAATGCAAACAGACTGGGGGACAAAGACTCTTATGCACACACACACACACAGACATAGTTTCCTGCAATACGGTTGCACAATGTTTCATCAGCACTATTGTGTTGCAAAATATAGGTATGCATGCGGAACACAAGGTTCGGAATTGCCATACTGTCAGTGCATCAAAATAAGGCTTCTCAGCAAGACCGCGCTCCACTTTTAATCAGCGTCCCTGATTGATTATGCCCGCCCCAAAAGTGCACACTTTGCACGGAAAACATCACTGTGAATATTTGACAAATGGATCTCCTCCGTAGATGCATTGAACAGTGCTGAAAAAAGGCTACGGATGTGCCGCACACATGCAGTACAGCGTGTGCCATCATCACACTCTCCGAGTGGGGGTAGCAGGGCGGGGGGGGGGGGGGGTGATTAAAAGGTAAATACGGGTCCGGCGGCATTGATTTCCACACCTGGTCCGTCCGGTTTATTGTAATTGAACGGACTGTTGTGAAGTAACTAAAGCAGAACACAGCGGGGTCGGTACAATAAAAGCGTCCTTTCTCAGTGTCGGTGCGGAGGGAGAAGTGAGCACTGTTTCCGATCTTAAGGGTGGGGGGGTGGGGAGGGCGGCGCCGAGACGGTCTGATGTAGTGCAGCAACTTTATAGTGAGGATTCCTATGATGGCTTTAAAGATGATCTGCAACGGGCCTCGTTGCACGGACGCCGCGTCGCTCTCTTTCCCTCTCGCAGCGATTGGTTTAAAGTTACCAAAGTCATCACCTTAAAAAACTCAATACTGCAGTGTTGACAAAGTAGGTGAGCGGAGCACAACAAAGACTTGGATACTGTATTATTTATTTCGGCTGGTGCTTTTGTTTAGTGGAGAATCTTGAGGTTTCCTCTGTCTCAAGGAAAACGAAGCGCTGCTGAATAAGCAAATGTTATGCAGCGGGGAAGGTGTTTCAAAGTCCTTCCCTTTCCTCTGTAATGTATCTGCATAGGAAGCCGTTTGTTATGGAAAACAAAACCAGCGGCATGCAGATCATGCACGAGTGCTTCAAAGCACAAGGTCAACACACTGCTGGGAAATTAGCGCCGTATCTGTAAACTTACTTATTGATATTCCCGTGTTCTGCTTGGGAGAACCAGGCAAATGTTCTCTGCATTCACAGACAAAATACAAATGCAAATCCAACTGACTGGATTTTTTTTACGTCGCTCCTTCTTCCCGCGTTTATCCTCACAACGTGTGGGCACGCGCGCACACACACACACATGCAACTAGATACGATATAAAAGTTGACTACAAAACCACACACACAGACACACACCCTTTTACTCACCCAGGGCTTGATGGAAGTCACCTGACACCTGAGTCATGGTGGTGGGTGGGAGGCTGTTGATGTTGAGCGCCCCCATCTGGTGGATCTGCGTGGCGGGGAAGGCCAGGCTGGGCGTGAGGTAACCTCCGTGGCTTGCTGCCATGATGGCTGCCTGCTGCTGCATGAGCTGAAGAAGAGGGACACGGAGGGACGGGTGGAGGAGAGGAGGGACGGGTGGAGCGCGGGTGTGTGGGAGGGAGCAGGGGAGAGGTGAGGGGAGGACAGATGGTAATGACAAATATAGTAAGTTGAGAAGGAGTGGGACAAAGACGCGAGAAGGGGAGCGAGAGAGGAGAGAGAAACGTGGCAATTGCAGGACAGGGGGAGGGATGTGCGTTGAGGTTGATGGATGGATGAAGCATGGGAAGTACAGAGAAAGCAGAGCGGGAATAAAAGAAAGGGCAGAGAAGAAGAAGCCTGTCAACCTATGTTTAGTGAATCCGTCTATCCACCCAGCAGGAGGCCTGTCACCAGCTGCAGAAACAATTTAATAGCTGTCTGTCGCGCTCACACAAATCAAAGCATTGGCATGTGGACATTATCTGTGCAAGTTTGCAGAGGAGTCGCGTCGCAGTTTTCACTCTGCACGGCTGTACTGAAACGCCACAGCCGTCCTGATACTCTCTCTCTCTCTCCGGTCGCAGCTCTAGTTTTTGTGATGTATTTGTAATCATGGCTGCTTGGAGGTTCATGCTCCGTTTTATAATTCAGTCAGACACCGCTGGGTTCGGGCTCCGGGGTGGAACGTCATGAAGCGACCCGTTTTTGCCTCTAAAAAAGCTGCTTCCTTCGGGCGAGTCTGTTTCGCGGTGTCACCGAATCAAAACGCCGAGTCACGCGGGGAAAGCAACATTTTCCAAGCAGGCGCGGCGCTCGGATCCCCCGGCCGCGTTAGTAATAGAGCGTGTTAGTCAGAAAATTGAAAAAGGTTGTCGGTATTCACCCGCTGGACAACCCGACAGAGAGATGAAAATCAATAGCCTTTTCATTCACTCTGCATTTCCACCCAGCGAGGGCCGAAACTCTTTTCCATCAGATGCTGCCCACGTTTATTCATGCTCGCGTGCACCACCGCCACCGCGCTCACACACAGACACGCCACACACTGAACGAGCTGGACTCCGGAAAAATGCGTCACTGCACGCCGGCTCCTGCAGGTTGTGGGTTTGCTGTGGAATCGTGTAGCCTTGCAGAACTGTGTGGTGTGGGAATGCGAACCGAGCGGCAGCGCCCTTTTCCCCCCCCCCCCCCCCCCGTCTGAGCATCTATTTAGTGGCCTGTGAATGAAAAGTCCTCTGCCACTGGCACTAATGACCGTACTGTGAGACACTGGAGGTGCAGAACGCCACCGCTGGTATCTGCATGGGGGGGACCCAGCAATGCAATGCAAAAAAAAAAAAGAAAAGCCAATTATTTTCCCTCAGTGGCCCTGTCAGGTAGCCTGAAAGTGGCTGTCCCGCCGCAGAACGCCCCGGCGCCGGCATCTCATCCATTAGCCACACGCCTCGCCACCGCTTTCTATTAGCGCCTTTTGTCATTTGCATATTTCCAACCAGACGGGAAATATCCGGGAATCGTCCGTTCCTTTCCAAATAAGATGGATTGAGCCTTTAAGGGTCACGGCTTCAAAAGAAAAAAAAAGGGAACAAGACGCTAAACAAAAGCAGCGACACAAAAACAAACAAAGAGGGTCCGGAGGATCCCGGGGCTGCCTCGCTGTGGCCCACGCGGTGACCGGTCGGGCTTCGGGGCGGCGGCTCTGACCGGACCGGTTATCGCGGGACGAAGAGGCTGTCTCTTGCTCTTTGCTCGCCTCTTTCAGAGAGGACTTTCGGGTTGATGAGCCGGTGGCCTCCGCGTTGAGGGGCGAGGATGCGGAGGGACCCCGGCGTCCCCACCGCGGTGACCCCCGGCCCTACGAGCGTCTTTATGACGACGCAATCCTTAACGTCGTCCCTCAAACTGTGACGGATAACAACTCTGGCATTCAATGATGCTTCATTCCAAATCCCGAGTTGAGAAAATTGGAAACCCAAGCATATAATTACACTGGAGTGGTTAATACAAACTGGCCCTGAAAAAAAAGATAAAGAGCAGAAAGCAGAGTGGTAATGTTGACAGAGATATTCAAAGGCGTTCCATTTTTACTTTTCATATGTATATCCCTTTTTCTTCTTTTTCAAAATGACAAAGGCATTATATTCAAAAGCCATTCCCGTTTTCTTTTATTTATGCCGTACCCGGCAGATAGCAAACGTGTCTGCGGGACAATGAGCAGAACTGAGTCCTCGTCTTCGCAGACGGAACCTTTTCTGCTTCCCCTTGAAAAGAAAGGAGACGGGAAGAAGAGGCGCCCAAGAAACAAGGGGGACAAAAGAGAAGCGCGCCGGCGATGAAAGGGAGCAGAGAAAAAGTTGCCCGAGCTCCAGCGGCATTCATTTAGTGTCAGACATCTGCTTTTTTATTGCAACCTGATGGCATTACTCTCCCCTGGTGCCAGCAGGCAATCACCTCTTTATCACGTGGCAATTATCTCTATAGTGCTGCTGTGTGACTCGCTGACTCGCAGCACGGTCACATGTGACCCCCCTTATGGCCCAACCAGCCGGGGATGGAGGGAGACAAAGAGATGCATGGGGGGAGAGAGAGAGAGAGAGAGAGAGAGAGAGGTAGAAGGTTGATGAAATGAGCGAGAGGAGGAGGGGGAGGGGGGGCAGTTGGTCAATGAGGTGAACCTAAAGGCCCGAAGCTTACGGGCCTTGTTTGTTGCCTCCTGCAGAGAGAATTTCAGATTTGAAAAAAGGCTTCTTTTTTTTTTTGTTCCCTCCTTCATCTCGTCTCATCTGACTCTGCAGAGCTGAACACGCTGAACCAGGTCACGCGCCCACGGACGCAGTAATCGGCTGCCATCGCCTCTGTCACGCGCGTGCTGCTCGAGCGCGAGTCCCTCCAACGAGGAGAGAGTTTTCCTAATGTGAGTTCACGGGCCCGTCATCCTCCTCCCCTCCCCGCCCCCCCCCCCACACACATCCGCCACCCTATCAGCGCCAAGTTGGACCGTTTCCTCTCCTCTCCTTCATCCAGCGCCCGCTCGGCCCCCGATGCATCTTCTGAGGAGGCGAGAGGGGGCACGGTGCCCCGAGGAGCCTTTAAAATGTAAAACTCCTCCGTTGCCACCGCCCCACCCCCACCCCATCCCAGACGC